AAAAAAGTTTATCAAAAAACTGTAAACTGGTTAATTTTCACTATTTTTTAGCGATTTGATGATTTTTGACAATTCAATGTGTATGGATCCAGAGAAGTTATTGGTTCCTATGGTAATAGATTAACATTCCTATCATATCACAAAATATTGTTTGGTCACATATGATGAAAAAAAAAAACATAGTTATAAGATGAATATTCAATGTCATGAATTACTTGGTATTGAACATTCTGTTGAATAATTAATATATTTTTGCAATATAGTTCTTTAACTAAGGAAATCATTCCAAAAATGTCAATTTTAGCATTTTGCACACAATACATAGTGTAACTATTACTATTTTTCTAGGTCAAATGTCTATTGGAAACAAGCAGCCAGTCGGCTGAGATACATGTAGCTCCGCTGTTAGCAATGCACATTTCAATTAAAGAACAGAAGATATCATTAGAAAATGAACAATATGTATAGTATCAAAGCAATGGAACTTGCTGTTTTCAACAAGAATTCAAAAATATCACTTTTCACCAAAAATAACAAAAATAATCATCAAAATTAGATAATTGAAGATATCACCAAGAAATTAACAAATCTGAAAGAGGTCCAGATGTAGTACCTATATATGTAATATCAAAGCAATTGGACTTGCGGTTTTTAACAAGAAGTCGAAAATATATTTTTTTACCAAAAATGATAAAAATATTCACCAAAATTAGAGAATTAAAGATATCATCACGAAATGAACAAATCTGAGAGAGGTCCACATGTAGTACATGTACCTATATCTGTAATATCAAAGCAATTGGACTTGTGGTTTTTAACAAGAAGTCGAAAATATCACTTTCTACCAACAATGACAAAAATATTCACCAAAATTAGAGAATTAAAGATATCTTCACGAAATGAACAAATCTGAGAAAGATCCACATGTTGTACCTATATATGTAATATCAAAGCAATCGGACTTGCGGTTTTTAACAAGAAGTCGAAAATATATTTTTTTACCAAAAATGATAAAAATATTCACCAAAATTAGAGAATTAAAGATATCATCACAAAATGAACAAATCTGAGAGAGGTCCACATGTAGTACATGTACCTATATCTGTAATATCAAAGCAATTGGACTTGTGGTTTTTAACAAGAAGTCGAAAATATCACTTTTTACAAAAAATGACAAAAATATTCACCAAAATTAGAGAATTAAAGATATTATTACAAAATGATCAAATCTGAGAGAGATCCACATGTAGTACCTATATATGTAATATCAAAGCAATTGGACTTGCGGTTTTTAACAAGAAGTCGAAAATATCACTTTCTACCAACAATGACAAAAATATTCACCAAAATTAGAGAATTAAAGATATCTTCACGAAATGAACAAATCTGAGAAAGATCCACATGTTGTACCTATATATGTAATATCAAAGCAATCGGACATGCCGTTTTTAACAAGAAGTTTAAAATATCACTTTTTACCAAAAATAATCATCAAAATTACAGAATTTGAGATTTTGACATGAAAAACAAATCTGAGAAAGAACCATCCAAGGTACTTGCATATCAAATTTGAAAAAATTCTGACTTGCGGTTTCAAAGAAGAAGTTGAAATTGTAAAGTTGGCGATGACGGACGACGACGAACAATCAGTAATACATGTATGAACAGCTCCGCTGTATCGACTTTGTCGACAGCGGAGCTAAAATAGTGTTAAAAATTTAAGTTTTTAGACATGGAGACCATACAATTTTTGTCATGATACAACTGGACTTTCATCTGCTCTATTCTACAATAATATAATACTGGTATATGTACATGCATGCAGCCTGATCATAACAGTATAACTTACTAGCAAAACTATATATTATTGTCTCGTTGAGTCCAAAGTCAGGATCATATGCATAGATAGGAGGATTAACATCTAAAGTGACACCAGACACTTCCTCAATGACTGTGGCAGAGTAATGTGTGCTGCCAAAGACTGGGTTCTGATCATCACCATCAAGCACATTAATAAACAGATATGAAATACCGGTTCTTGCTTCAGAATCATCACGATCATCCTAGAAAGAAATGTATTCACATTCATGTCATTGTTCACCCTTATGTAAACACTACCTCTCCAATTTTGTCTGAATCTGAATAAAATTAGATCTTATTGGGCTTATGTCTTCTAATAGTTCATTTTTTTTTGAAATGCAAAAAGATTGTCATTTTTACCTTAACAAATAAAGTAACATTATAGAAAGACCGAGTCTCATAATCTAGGCCAGCTGGAGCAATCATTAATTCTTCTTTAGCTGTGAAAATGAAATCACCAAAACCTTCTGCCTGGGAAGAAATATGAAAATATTAACTTTAAGTAATTAGATTAATGTTGATAGTCTGAAAAGATGCGTTGGTGTACGCGATGTTTTGCGCTCTATAAAAATTCCACCTAAACCACACATACAAGCAATTTTGTCTGAATATTTACTAGAAGCTAGCAACTACAAGATGTACAAGATGCTGCTGTCATGCTATTGGTCAGAGAATTAAAGCGGGAGTGTCGTTACTTGCGCACCCGTGGGTGAGTCCCAAGCGACGATAACAACACATGCTAAAAACGCAAAGGCTCAAGGGTAGACACTTGTTTGTAAACAATGACACGCTATGACCATCTGATGCATGCGCAGGTCACAACTCCCTCGATTTAATGCTGTTCGAATAACATGTGTAGAAGTCTGTGGAACTGTGAATAGCATGTTTGAACATTAATTGCAGTAGACATGAGTTCACAAGTTTAAACATTGCAAAATGTTACCCCAAGTATATTCATTAGGTACTACAAAGATTACTGGTACATGAATGAACAACAAATCTAGCAAAAAATTCAAGATGGCTTCTTTAAATATTTTACCTCATAGCTATAAAGAAGTTCAGTCGATGAAGTATCAATGTCATTATCATCAGCCTCAACACCATCAAATATTACAATTCCTGGTGGCCACAGCTGTAAAAAATATAAAAATAATGGTTAACGTTTATTAATATAAGAACACCATAAAGTATAATAATTAAAAAAGTGGACTAAACACATGTGGGACCAAAAATATACCCAGTATACAGGTGAATTGGCAAGATTTACTGCCATCATCATTTTGTTTCAAATCTATACTCAATTTAAAAAAACACAATGACAAATTTTATAATAAGCAAGCACATATTAGAAATAGAGTAAAGGGCAAAATACCCAACCCAATGTTATGTAATTAAAGGTGCCATAACTGTCATAATATATGATGGATGCAGTATGAAGAAATTGAATTATATTTTAGTATATATTGTTATTGTCACATAGAACTTGATTTCTTTATTTGGCCATCTTTTATCAAATTACCAAATGATTAAATATCCGCATGTGCAAAATGGTGTATTATAAAGTTTGAATTATGTATATCTAAAGTTTGAACATGATTGGTCAGCGAATGTCCAGCTCTGAAACAAAATTTGTTAAAACAAAATGGTCATCAGGCAGCCATTTTAAATACGATCTGTAAAACAAAATGATGTGCAGCATGGTTGAATAATGTCTGATGTATGTACCAACATGCCAATCCAAAGATGTATGATGTGTGTGTGAAATTTGAATGTAACTGGTCCAGGCATGTCTGAAATACTTAAATTGAGATACAAGTCAAATCTTATTTCCCTGTTTTAGGACTAAAAATGCAATTTTGTGGATCAGTAAAGAAATTCTTGAAAGTCTGTTTAACCAAAGATTACTACCAAATTTATCCTATGTTATATAAAATTGAAACTGAAAGTCAATGTGTTAAAACAGGAAGAAAAACAAAAAACAAGTTAAAATTGGTTGATTATTATGCAAATTACCTAATTAAGATGCACAAATTAGTACCTAATCAGGTCAGGAATTGACCAGGAAGTATCAGTTTACCAAATTATTTTCCAATCCAAAGGATATTGACAGAATAAGATTTGACACAGACAAGTTCATGCATCATATCTATGCAAACAGAAAGACAGACAGACCACTGTTACACTAGTAATTCAAACATTTAGTAATTTAAATTATAATTATGTTGTACAAACCTCAGAGATATTCAATACATATGGTCCTCCAATAAAGTAAGGGTCATTGTCATTGACATCAAAAATGTCAATAACAACATTCACGGTTCTCTGAAATAAAAAGAGATTGGTTAGTGACATCATGGAGGGATGTATGTGTGTTGATATGGGCATAGTGATAGCGGTTAGTGCAAGTAGCACTAATCCGAAATAGTACTATATCTATGGGTAAAATGGCACTAGATCTAGTGCTAAAATATACACAGTGTGAGTGGCATTGTTATTGCATTGTCATTGATGTCAAGATTGTGAATATTTATATTATGTGATATGGTATGGAAATTTGTGGTTTCAAATATGGTGTATATGTAAACTTGTATGTAAGCTGTGGAAGCCAGGGTTTATTTTTCTCCAAATCACTGACATGCCATTTTTTCTCTGGTTGGCACCACGGTTAATGAAAATAGATCTTTGAAAATGAGATTTTGCCATTATAATGCTGTAACTTATAAAAGGCTTTAAACTAAATATAAAATTTGTCCAGTCCAGGGTCCCCATAAACTTCGGTGGATTCTGTGTGTATGGTGGCCTGTGACACAGAAAATGAACCAATGTCTGGTTTTCATGACATTGACCCTTGCAGGTACAGTCAACCAATGGTAGATGTTGATTCACGCAACCTTACATTGTACCAAACATGAAGGAAAGAGAATTTGACATCTGGGTGAATTATTTGAGAACAAGAACAAGAAGTAAATTCATTGTATCCATAGTTCTAACAATGAAACGATGCCGTGGTGTGCATCTACAGACAGCAGTATGTGTCACCGGCCAACTCACTATAGTCTGAATCATTACAAATATAAGAAACCGGACATGATTTCAAAAATTCATTCTGTATTTTCAGGTCACTCGTGTGGTGTTGTCCTGTAGGTCCATGGTCTAACCTATGAGCGGTTGCAGTTAGCAAGTGCAGATTTTTTTTTTTGGAAACAGTGAAATGTTACATTGAAGTGACATGATTGATATCAAGGGGTTAGGTCAGACAAATGTTGGTGCTTTGCTGGAAAGTATGTGCTTCAGGGAAAGGGGTATACCATTTGAACAGACATGAGAGTTTATGTTAATGACAAATGTTTGTCTATATGAATAAACAATAAATGCAACTGTGAGATATAACATACATGGAAAGACATTGAAGATATGAGCAAATACAGTATGTGTGAGATCATTTCTAACTCTACCAACTCTCCTAACTCTTGCTTTCATATTTTCTAAAGTAAATTATCTATACCTCTACATTTCCATTTTGTATACAATTTAGTGTCACTGTCATTCGGTTCTTTCGTTTGTCCTGCAAAAAAATATTAAAATAAGATTTCAAACAAAATTATTCATGGAGACTCGGCAGTGGAGTTACAACAAAACTTTGAACAAAATCCTGTCTAAAATGTTCATACAATTCTCTCGTTGGTTTGTAACTTAAGTAGTAAATCTATATAAACATTGCATTAATCGTTAACAAGTTTGTAACACTGTAAACACACATTACATACAGTTCAATTTCCATTCCTATGTTACAAAATCAATATACGGTACATCATAATTTCATAAGTCATTGTTAAAGAATAGTCCCTGTTGGAATTAGGGGGAAGTTATTTGTGCCAAAAATAAAGTAATATGGATCAAAAGCATAGTTAGTAATTGAGAGTGAATATACATGTACATATAATTGACTGGTCTAGTATCAACAGAAATTAGATGTAACATGTCATTGATAATGATATAGTCCCTGTTGGAATTAGGGGAAATGTTATTCATGGCAAAAATAAAGTTACAGACCAAAAGCATGGTTAGTAATTTAGAGTGAATAATTGGCTAGTTTAGTATCAACAGAAATTATTCTTCCAATATCGAAATATAAGGTCAGAAATTAAACAGGATAAGCTATTCATACATTTCTTATATTCAAACTGAATTTCCTTTGTCTGGGCTCATGTACAGAGATATAGTAGTATGTTCAAAAAGCAAGATGGCTGCCAGTCGGCCATCTTTGATCTGATTGGAGGGAGGGAGGGAGGGAGAGACAGGCGCACGGATGGACGGATGGAAGAACAGGGACCAACAAATGAAACTCATGTCAAACACGTTATATTAGTTTCACTTTCTACATTGTATGTATATCAGTAGATCTTAGTGTTACCTACACATTCAATTATGATTTTTTTTTTACCCAGAATAGTTATTATAATGAAATCGACAATTAAAGCATTCATAATTGTGTTGAATTTGCTCAAAGAAACTAAAATTAGCACTTACATCTAAATCATACTGTTTTTTCCAGGTTATATTCTGTCCATCTATTTGTAAGTAATCTAAAACATTTAGATATGCAGTTGTATCAACTAGCTCCAATTCTATATCTATACCAACAAAATCCAGAGCAAATATTATTTCACCTATGACCAAAAAGAGAAAAATATTAAATCTATTATAAACAATTTTAAGCATGGATTTTTTTCATAAATCATAGCAGTTATTAACTTTTTCTCAACTTTTCACAAATTATATATACAGCATATAAAAACATTCAGGTATGTGAGCACCAACATATATGTCCACTTACCAACAGGTCTCTCTTCATAGATTTCCGAAGATATTTCTGACGGATTACTTTCTGCTTCGTATGTGAAATCACAATCTAGGTATATAGAAAATATATTTTTATATTACATAAATTGATTTAAAAAGTCAATTTGAAAGGTCAAATTTGTCACTTATACCTCAGATCTACATACGCCAGTAGCACCGGTAGATTTATTAAAGCACATCTTGGTAATTTTGATGTATGTAAGAAGACATTTCATTTGTTCCAACTTGTATATTTATTGCCATACGCAAGTCTGGTTTGTGTGCAGGTTATATGATTAGAATGCCAGGCGCAAGTCTGATTTGCGTGTACGTGCAAGTGACATATATACAAAACTGCGCCTCATGCACCTTTTCCACGCGCAACTACCTGGTAAAAGTACAACAGACTAATTGTATAAACTTAGTGTGACAATGGCAAACAGGAGCAATTACATCAAAGCCATTGTTAAATAATACTGGTCTGAAGCCAAAGACAAATGTAGCAACAACAAATCAGCCGTTTCCATTTTAAGTAGTTTGGTGTTCCATTTTAATTTTTTAACTCAACATTAGGAGTATTGTGAAATAAATATAAAAATGTATAAAATTAGCGTAACATTTGTGACGTACCAGTTGAATTTATCACTTGTAAGTTCTACAGCCAGCCTAACATGTTATAAAAATTATAAAACTGTAGCTGACCAACTTCTGAATTACATTTTGATAGCTTACAAATGCAAATATCTCTCTAGTCTAATCATTGAAACTTTCTACCTTTGAAAATATTAAATATAATTTTAACAAAATCACTTGAAAAACAAAACAAGAAACATCTTTTAAAATCCCTAATTATTGTTTTTTATTAAATAATTGTTAATAATTAAATAAAACCATATTCCATGTCTGGAACTACGTACATGTGTAATAGGGTTGTGTGACCTTCTTCCTATCACATTGGTATTATGGCAATTTAATGCGCTAACCTGGTGCAAACCAGGCTGGTTGAAACACAAGCACCTGTGTCCCTTAAGCATGGCTGGCTCCCCTATGTAGCATCCATTAATAAACAAATCTCAATCAGTTGGATTGGCCCTTCTGTTGAGTTGATCTGTTGGACACTCACTCAGGGTAGGGGTGGACTCTTTATGTAAGAATATAGCCACAATCTATTTAAGAATGTCTACTCAGTCATGAGAATTAGTTAACCATTAAATAGCTTTATTTCGGACACCAAGAGATAATAAAGATGGCGGCACAACAAAATTTGACCGACAAACTGTGTGATTGGCTGAATGCTATACATAATTTTTAAAATATCTAACATAAACTAAAGACATAAGTGGGTTCCAACAATACCTTCACGCTGTTTAACGACAGGTAGGATTTGAACTTGTGTCTACCGGTCATGATTCTAATACAACAGCCACTATGCTACTGGTGACGATTATTGTGCAAAAACAGCTAAAAATCTAAAAATATTTATGCAAATTTATTAATATGCACAGATTTTGACCAGAACTTAATCTTTTATTTTATTGTTTATTATGAAGCATCTATGTGAACCAAATGTCATTCAAGTTTGGGAGAGGTTTAATAAACAAACATATACAGACAGGATAAACTCCACAAAAAGAGGTAACATTGCCTGTATCGCATACAGGAGCCACAAAGAAACATCCAGTATAACACTTGATTCTCATTACTAATCCTGATACGACAACTTAACCCTTTCACCACCAGTTCCCTCTTTTCATAAAAAATTCACAAAACAGTCGTGTTTAGTCTGCACTTTCCTTCACAAGATTGGGACAAAAATAGCAACATTTTTTGAGTAAAAACTATCTGTTGGCTCCAAAATTAGGATTCATTACTAAAAATATTGAAGAGTATAAGAAAAAAAGTGCAGGAAAATTTGTACGAGAAAGTCTAGTGGTGAAAAGGTGAAAATTTTTTCATATGTACCACTCTAATATGTCAGCAAAGAAATCAACCTACTCACAGAGTTCAGACAAAAGAAATCAACCTACTCACAGAGTTCAGACAAAAGAAATCAACCTACTCACAGAGTTCAGACA